TCGCCCCGCAAACGGCGAGGCTCGAACCGCCTTGAAGGACCGTCGGCGGGGTTCCACTCTGAAGGAATCCATCGCACTGACACACGACAAGACGATGCGAGCTGAAGAGCTGTGAAGTGTCTCAACTGAGCGAGGATGGGAAAGTCCGAGGCTCTTCCTTTTGCAACTGCACAGCAAATACACATGCTGTCTGACAAAAATAGAAGCCTGCACCCATGATGCGCCACTCGCCGCACCTGCCGCCGCATGGCCCACAGCAGCGCCTCGCCCTCCAGAAGGTGGATGGGGGCACGATGGCGCCACCGTCTCGAGGCCACGGTCTTCCACGAGGCGGCCTTGCAGAAGTCCGACGGCACGTCGGGGAACGGGGGGTCGCCGACGGCCCCTTCACGCAAGGCGCGTGCACGCGAGCCTTCGGCCACCAGCTCGCGCTCCTTGAACCTCCAGCGCTCTCTAACTCGGCCGATGCGCCCGACGTCGCGTGGGTCCGCGGAGCGCTCCACCGCGCCCAAGCCAGTCATCGAGGCGTCCACGGCCATCACGCTGGGGGCCCAAGCGCCGCGCAGATCCGCCCACACCAGCGGCAGCAGCGCTCGCATCCAGGTCAGCTCTCGGCGCACCGAAGGCCAGAGCCGCACGCGCCGAGCGTAGCACTTGCTGACAAAGACGTAGGACGCACTGAGCAAGCTGAGCACCTCGCGTCGTGGCAGCAGCACGTACGTCAAATGCCCGATCAGCCGCTCTAGCTCGGCTCCCGTCAGGAGGGGGTGCTTCAGGATATAGTCCAGACTCATGACCAGCCTCCAGAACCGCTTGGGCGCGATGTGAATCGCCCCCTTCACCCCGTCGATGTGGAACCCGAGCAGGTCCACGTCAACTTGCGGCCCCGAGATGTCGTGAGTAGTCAGACCGCGTCCCCTCAGCTGCCTCTCCATCGAGTCGCCGTCGAGCTGGACTGTCTCCTTTACAATCCCCAGCGAGGCGAAGTTGTCGATGCACAGGAGAGCAGCGGGCCCACGCCCGGCGACAGCAGGCGCGCAGCGGCGATTGCAGATCCAGCGGCGGGCCCCTTGCGGACCAGCTCGCAGCAGCTCCCCGTTCGCCGCCTGCACCAGCGCCACGGCCCAGCTCCAGCCCATCGGCACCACGCGCACCTGGAAGTGAACGAAGTCGCTCCTGGGCGGAAACAAGCGGCGCAGACTCCGCGGCAGCAGCTTCCGAGGCACCGCAGGTAACACGAAGTCGGCCCTCAGGTCGTCAGGCAGCAGGAACTGGCAGTAGCAGTTCTCGACATCGCCCTCGCTGACCCACAACCGCTGGCCTGCAGGCAACTCAAGATCACCCAGGGCCTCAGGAGAAGCCAGAGCAACACTATCTGGAGGTACAAACTGCGAGTTCGTCTTTCGAGGATCGAAGATGATCCGCAACGAGCCGTCCTTCTTACGCACAAAGAAGACTCCCACAAAACTGCGAACCTCAGTCGCCGGTTCGACGACACCCGATTCGTATGCAGACATCAAAAACTCGGCGTACTTGCTGGGCGACCTAGCCAGGATGGGATCCATCGCAGGGCCCAACTCGTCCACCTCTGCCGCCACGTCCCTTGTACACACTGCTGGTAGCCGAATAGCGCGGCCACTATCCTCCAGCAACTTCTGGTAGTGGTCGGGCAGGCAACTGACGAGGTCGATCGCCTGGTTACCGACCGCTGGCAGGGCAAGCCTGCCGCGCTGGTAGGTCGCGAACTCTCCGGCGACAACACCTGCAACGGCGTAGCCGGAACCGCAGCCCCGAAGCGCAGACCACGCTCCCGAGGCGGTGAGGTCGTCGGGCGGCGGCGGCACGGCAAAGTAGGCCCGGGCCAAGCTGGCCACAGCCTGGCGCTGGATAGCACCTGGCAGCACTTTGGGGCCCCACTCCTCGCCGCGGCCGCCCAGCACGTCGAGCGTCGAGATGCCGTCCTGCAGCCACGCCTCGGCAGCCCGTCGGCGCGAGCGCCGCCGATCCGCACAGCGCGACACACCCAGGCCAGCTGGCGAGAGTCCCTCCAGGAGATCAGCCAGGCAGCGCCCAGATGGCAGCGGCAGCAAGTCCCGATCCCAGTCTAGGCCTTCACCTGCAACACCGAGGCGGCCCGCCATCCTCCTCAAGCGGGCAGCCCCCCCCTCTGCAGAATGGGCGGCGGCCGGGGGCCTCCGCCGCCCGTGGCAGCTCAAGCAGCGTCACCCCCTGGCCCGCCACCATTCTTCTTCGGGCGCCTGGGGGGCTTCTCGTCGTTCTTGCCGCTTCCAACACCTGGAGCAACATCGGTCAAGCGGGCCAGCTGCCGCTCCTCCTTCGCCTTGCGGCGCTCCTTGAGCACCGCGCTCTCCTCGGACAGCTTCTGGGAAATCCAGGACTCTAGAGCAGGCGCCACGAGAGCACGGCCATGGCGGCCCTCCTCGCCCATGAACAGCCTGTCGTTGTCGAGGTGGCCGCTGTCGCCGCCCGCCGTTGCCGCGATGAGCATGCGGGCGCACCTCTCCTCGAGCAGCTGGTAGCGCCTGCCCGCAAGCTCCAGCGACGCAAGCTCGCCGAAGTTTAGCTGGTCGTAAGTCAGAGCGCACTCGAAGAGCCGGCTCAAAGACTCGTGCTCCCCGACACCCCAGTCACTGGGGCCCAAGCCTAGCAGCTGTCTCCACCAGAAGTGGCGGCGCACGGGCGTGAGCTCCTGTCGAGCGATCTCACGTGCCAGCCACTCCGCCGTCCTAGGGCCGCTGATCGGCCAGTCCTCGAACGCCGTCGTCGTGGTCAGCGACGCCGCCTCCTTGTAGGAGCGGTGCCTCTGGCTGGCAGTCTCGTACTTCACGGGGAGGGTGCGCAGCTCGTTGGACGCAGGCTCCGCCGCCCCCTCCTCCCTAGGCGTAGGCATCTGCTGGCCCGGCCTGAAGAAAGCGCAGGACACGAAGACGTCGCCCACGAGGGCCACTCCACGATCCCCTCGCTGGCAGCCTGCCTCCAGCTCCGCGTCGCCGACACGCTCGCCCAGCCTAGCGCCTCCACGGTTCTCCGAGTACCGCCATCCTCCCTCACCCGCGCTCGGCACGCCCTCCAGAGCCAGCGGCGGAGGCGCGCCCGTGGGCGGCGGCAGCGGCGGAGAAGCGGCCAGGCCCAGGTCGCGCCTCTCCTGCAAGGCCAGCTCCGCGCCCTCCGCCTGGAGCCGCAGGCTCTCCTCACGGTGCAGCGGACCCTGGGACGAGTTCCTGAACAGGTGCGTGGGCCCACGGTTCCAGCCGATCGGCAGGCCTCCCATCGGACCCAGCAACACCAGGCTCTCGACGCCCTCCTGGAGGTCCTCGAGGTACATGTCTCTCTCGGGGGTGGTCACCACCCAGGAACCTCCGTGCACGTGCGCGCACAGAAGGCGCTCATGCCACAACAGCTCACGCGGGTCCTCGTCGTAGGAGACGAGCACTCGCTGGCCCTGACGAAGCTGATCTAACATCGCTTCCGTCGGTCAGGCACGGAGTCCCTGAGCCCTCAGGCGTGGCACGACCCTCCGAGCGCCTCAGGCACCACCAGCCACAGGAGGCAGCAGCGGCGAACCCTGCCAGGAAAGCCAGCACCGCCACCAAGAAGACCACCAGCCCAGGAAAGCCCGAGCACTCGGGTGGCGGGCACGGCGCCGGCACCGTGAGGTTCGCGGGCCCGCACCTCTGCAGCTGCCCCTCGAGCAGACGCAGCAGCTCACGGTCCACAGCGAACCCGTCTCCCAGCTCCACCTGGCAAGTACAGCGCTGGCCGTACCACAGGCTGCCCAGTTGTGCCAAGCCGCCGGCGCCAGCAGCGGCAGCCCTCGCCCACTCCATGGAAGGGCGAACTACCGGCTCGCACGGCTGATTAGAGCCAACGGTTGCGGATCACCAAATTGACAGGCCAACCCGATAAACTATCTCCAATTCGGCCCCCCAAGTGCCCCCAAAGATCGCCCAAACTTCCCAAGACGGCCCCAAGAGGCCCCCGAGACGGCCCAAGAGGCCCCCAAGACGCTCAAGATGGCCTCCAAGACGGCCCAAGAGCCCTCCAAGACGTCCTCCAAGAAGGCCCAGCAGGGTCAAAATGGCCTCCCGACGGCCAAGATGACCTTCAAGATGCCCACGTGTTCCCCGAAGGCTCTCCAAACCGATTCGGGGAACACACGGTCCGATGGCTTGGCACGTCTGGCCTCAACGTTCGGCCACATAGGCGCTTCCAAAAAGGCAGGGGGCGGCGGTGATTCGCCGTAGGCGTCTTCGATACGGTCCGAGAGCGCGGCACCACAGTCAAATGATGTCAAACGTATTGCAAGGATGCGGCGGAAGGACGGAAGCTCCTTGGACGCCCAACTTGAAAATTACTCAGCGGCGCACGACCAACTACATTGGCAAAGGACGGGCTGCATGGGCAAGGACGCAAGGGCATCCTCGGCAAGGCGACTGATCCTGCGCGCACATCCCCGTTCGAAGTTCCAGAAATCATTCCAAAAATCAAGGACCGCGTTGCGCTGACAGCGTCAGCGACGACGACGACGACGATGACGACCACGACGACGACCAGGACGACGACAACATGACTACGAAGACGGCGGCGGCGACCACGGCGACGGCGACGGCGGCGGCAGCGGCGGCGGCGAGGACCGCGGCGGCGACCGCGACGGCGACGGCGACCGCGACGGCGACCGCGACGGCGACGGCGACGGCGACGGCGGTGACGGCGGCGGCAGCGACGACGACGACGAAGACGACGACGACGACGACGACGACGACAACGACGAAGACAACGAAGACGACGACGACGACGACGCCGGCGGCGGCGGCAGCGGCGACGCCGGCGGCGGCGGCGACGACGACGACGACGACGACGACGACGACGACGACAGCGACGACGACGACAGCGACGGTAGCGGCTGCGGCGGTGACGACGACGACGGCAGCGACGACGGCGGCGGCGGCGGCGGGCGAGCCGCGGCCCAGCGGGGTCACGAGAACTCCGACTCTGGGAGGTCGACGTACAGGCGCGAGTCGGCCGAGGTGCCGGCCGGCGGGTTTATCCTGGCCAGGACGCCCAGAACGCCGTCGTTGCTCGCAACGTCGCCCCCTGGAGGTCTGGGCCCTTTTCCCTGGGACCGGTTCTCGTCCAAAATCATGATGTGACGGTCCTGGGGCCTGGCGAAGGCCCCCCGAAGCCGAAAACTGCAGCAACAACTTCAGCAACAGTAACAGTAACAGCAACAGCAACAGCAGCAACAACAACAACAACAACAACAACAACAACAACAACAACAACAACAACAACAACAACAACAACAACAACAACAACAACAACAACAACAACAACTCATGTCGTGAATATTTCTTTTCGCAGCAAAAGGGGGCGGGGGTGTGCAAACTAATACACCTACGCCGATCCTGGCCATGCCCACCCTGGGCCCAGCGTCGGTGTGCACGCCATCCTGGCGTGGCCACGAGGGCATACACACCGATCCTGGACCCAAGACGTGCCTGGCCAAGATCGGCGCGGGCGTATAATCAACGCCCTCCTACCCAGCAAAACGCGTCGTCGCCGCTGCAGCGGGCGCCGCCGCCGCCGCCGCCGCCGTCGTCGTCGTCGTCGTCGTCGTCGTCGTCATCGTCGAGGGCCGTTGCGGCGGGGGCGGGGGTAAGGGAGGAGGGGTTGGAATGCGTTTCGAGTAGTCAACCTTCTAGAGTTTGTTCGATAACCCATGTGCCGGCGCGGGCGAGCACCAATCCTGATCGAGGGGAATGGGTAAGAGGGAGAACGGGGCGGGAATAAGCAGCAAATGGAAGAGGAGAAGGAGGAGGACAGGGGGAGGAGCAGGAGCAGAAGGACGGTGAGAAGGTCGAACCGTTGGCTGGCGATATGATCGACCGTCATGGCGTGAGGAGGGAAGGGGGGCACAGAGAGGTGAAGAGGGAGAAGGGGAGGGGGACGGAAAGGATAGGGGGGAAGAGGGGGGGGCACGACGGCGCCCCACGGCCCCACGAGGCCAAAAAACGCCCCCGAACCTCGGTCCTCGATCCCCTCGAGCCTCGATTCTTTCGACCCCATCGACCCTTCGACCCCTCGGCCCTCGATCGTCGACCCGTCGATCCCCTCGGCCCTCGATCCTCGAGCCTCGAGCCTCGATCAATCGATCGTTCGATCAATCGGCCCCTCGGTCCTCGATCCCTCGACCGTCCAAACTGCAACCTCGAGACCGCACGGGCTCGCTGGGAACCCCGGGAGAGGCGGACGACGACGAGACTGCCGCCAGCGCTAAGCTGGAAGGAGGGGGAAGGCGGAGGATCGGCAACGCGCCCGAGGGGGAGGCAGAGGGACGAGTCTTCTCAGGAGGCGCAGCAAGCTGGGCGCCGTCGTCTGAGAAACTTCCGGAGCTCTCTCCGAAACTACAGCAGACTTTCCAGGAGGCCGCCGAGCATCTGAAAGGGCCGCCTTCTCCTTAGAGGGCCTGCCCCTTTTCACCGTCCCCCTCGGCGCTCCGCCGACAGGAGAGGAGGAGGAGGAGGAGGAGGAGGAGGAGGAGGAGGAGGAGGAGGAAGAGAAGGAGAAGGAGGTGGAGGAGGAGGAGGAGGAGGAGGAGGACGACGACGACGACGAGGGAAAGGAGGAAAAGGAGGAGGAGGAGGAGGAGCGGGCGGAGGAGGAGTTCGCTTCCGTTCGGGTGCCGCTGCTTCCTCGCCTTCTCTCTCCCCCCCTCTTGTTTGCCCCTTCTCTCCTTCCATGATGTTTTTTTCCCCCCGCTGGCTGGCTCTTCCTCCCTCGTCCCTGCTTCGTTTTGGTTTTGCCCCGTTCCTGGTTCCGCCCTTTCCCTCCCTCCCTGGGTTCGCCCCCTCTGCCTTTGGGCCGGACGCCCCCGCGAGCGCCCTTGCGCGCTGCTCCGCTGCGCCTGCGTCTTAGACGTAGCACGCCCCCCCGGCACGCGCTGGGCGTCCACCAGAGGACCTCGACCGCTTGCGAGCGGCCCCGACTGCACGGGCCTGCACCTGCGGTGCGACCCGCGGAGGCGAAAAAGAGGAGGAGGAGGAGGAGGAGGAGGAGAAGGAGGAGGGGGAGGAGGAGGAGGAGGAGGAGGAGGAGGAGGAGGAGGAGGAGGAGGAAGAGGAGGAGGAGGAGGAGGAGGAGGAGGAGGAGGACAAGGAGGAGGAGGAGGAGGAGGAGGAGGAAAAGGAGGAGGAGGACAGGCAGACAGACCACATACGAGCCATAGTTCGGAGTCTGGACCCGGCGAAAGCGGTTCCTGCCCGGACGGACGCTCCGCACCTGGCGAGCTTGACCGGCTCCGCCAAGTGGGAGGGCACATGCGCTTGCGAGAAGGGACAAGCTCTGACACCAGCAAGAGCCCAAAAATGGACCAGAAAACAAACGGCACCACCCCACCTACGGCCTCACAGGCCGTTGCGTATACCAGGACATCTGGCGCGGGTTCTTGCATGGTATACGCTACGGACTCCGATGGGCCGTAGCGCAACATGGATGGCCGTAGGTGGGGTGGTGTCGTTTGCTGTTTGGCCGACAAAACTCATGCCACAAATCGGCATCCTCGAGCTTCGCATAACGAGGACGACCCCTCGAACGGGTCCGAACGTGGTTAACGTGGTCCGACAGAATGGTCAACACAGCATCTCGGCAGGCAGCCCTGAGCACTTCAACAAGAGCAAGCAACTCCGTACGACGAACCGTCTGCTTGGGGCTGGCCACCAACCCCGTGCACCCGGAGTCCCAAGGGAGCTGGATGGCCGAAACCAGACGGACAAAACCCCACGCAACTCGACGGAGCATGGGCTGCTTACGGTGACGGCTTCCCGAGCCGTCTGCTGCCGAAACTCCCTCTGGCAGAGGCCACCCTTCAGCACGGAGCCACTCTAAATCCCGGGGCTTCGGGAGGGGGGGAGCGGAAGCTGAAGCAACGAGAGTGGGATTAGCCCACGAAGCCAGAAGATTGGGGAGTGACCGATCTCCTGGAGAGCCTGGTGGGCCGAGTGATTGGTCTCGGCCACATGGGGCTCGGGGACACCACGTCCCTCGACTCAGCCCACCCCCTAGAGAAAAAAGAGCAAGGACATTCCCAGCAACGGTGCAAACTGGTATCTGGGGATATCTTGTAACGCGGGCACCGACCATCCGACCTGTAACCTGTTTGGAAACGCCTGGACTCCGCCCAGCAACCTCCACACACCATGCTGGCTAGGGCTGGCTGTGCAGGATTTTCCAGGCGCCAAGTGCCGCAACAAACTGAAACCAAACTCAGACCTCACCCCGTCCCCGGCCAAATGCTTGAAGGCTTGGAGTACCGTGGACCAGGGAGGAGGGAGGAGAGAGCAAGGAGGAGGGTGGCAAGCGGGCCGCAGCGCCGGGCGCGGCGTCCAGATGCAGTTGCCGCGGTACTGCGACTCGTCGCTGGGGTCTGCGGCGCGCGCGCGGAGGACGGGCACCACCACCAACCCACCCGCCGTCCCTTGCACAAAACAATATCCACTGCACTTTGAACCAAGATCTGGATCATGCGCGGCCGCCCCGCGATCACTTCGCATTGGTTATTGACTGGAACGGCGGGGTTGCAGCCACATCGGGTTCTGCGTTCAATGCCAACACCCCCCCCCGCCACCATCCCTTGCAATAACAACATGCAAAGGCACTCTGCACGAAGATCTGGAACATGCGCAGACGCCCCACGCGCAGGCCCACCATCCCTTTCAACAACAAACTAAAAAGTGCACTCTGCCAGGGGCAGCGGGCGGGGGCAGCATACTGACTGCTGTGTGCAGGCCGACCATCCCTGTCAACAACGCATGCCATATGGTTGCGGGCGCCCACCCACACACACACAATACACAATACTCGCAAGCCCGCCATCATGTTGCATTTGTGTTTGATAGGGAGTGTGGGGCTGTCGAATTGCAAGATGTAACGCACCTGGTGCGCGTGGCGCACCTGGCACAGTGCGGTGCACCTCGCGGGCATCGCGCACCTTGCTGGCGTCTGCGTTGATTCCCGCTGGTTGACGATGGCGGCCTCTATGCGTGCTGAGACTCGGGTGCTACTTATGTAGTGAGAGGGCGGGTGGGAGTGAGCGACACGGCTTGCGGCGGGTAGCTTGACCGCTCCCCTTGCCCATGCCCTGGGTCTGGACGTGGCTTGGCCAAAAATGGCTCCAAGATGACCCCAGGTATGGTATCTCGCCCTTTCGCTTCCGATGGGCCTCTGAGGCATCAAGACGGCTCCAAGATCGCCCAAGAGAACCCCAAGAGGGGCCTAGAAGAGGCCCCAAGACGGCCTCATGAGCGACAAAGGGCGCTCCAAAGGCGCCCCACGAGTGTCCCAGGAGGTGGCCGCTCGTGCTCCAGAGGGGCAGCTCTAATCGGCGCCGCCCTCTTTTCTGATCGATGGCCTGCAGGAGCCCCAAGATTGCCCCGCGAGAGCCGCGAGGGGGGCCGCCAGCGCCGATCCAAGAAAGCCGAAATCGTACGTGCACGCAGCTGTTTATTATTAATAATAATAATACTAATAATAATAATGATAGTAATAGTAGTAGTAATAACAACAACAACAACAACAACAATAGTAGTAGTAATAAAAACACTAATAATAATAATGAGGATGATAACAAGAATAATGTTGATGATACTACTCCTAATTTTGAAGACAACATGATATCAACAACAATAATAACAGAACAATGACAATTATATGAAAAAAGAATACGAATAATAGTAGTAGTAGTAGTAGTAGTAGTAGTAGTAGTAGTAGTAGTAGTAGTAGTAGTAGTAGTAGTAGTAGTAGTAGTAGTAGTAGTAGTAGTAGTAGTAGTAGTAGTAGTAGTAGTAGTAGTAGTAGTAGTAGTAGTAGTAGTAGTAGTAGTAGTAGTAGTAGTAGTAGTAGTAGTAGTAGTAGTAGTAGTAGTAGTAGTAGTAGTAGTAGTAGTAGTAGTAGTAGTAGTAGTAGTAGTAGTAGTAGTAGTAGTAGTAGTAGTAGTAGTAGTAGTAGTAGTAGTAGTAGGTAGTAGTAGTGGTAGTAGGAGTGGTAGTAGTAGTAGTAGTAGTAGTAGTAGTAGTAGTAGTAGTAGTAGCAGTCGTAGGTAGTAGTAGTAGTAGTAGTAGTAGTAGTAGTAGTAGTAGCAGTAGTAGTAGTAGTAGTAGTAGTAGTTGTAGTAGTAGTAGTAGTAGTAGTAGTAGTAGTAGTAGTAGTAGTAGTACTACAAGTCATATAAAAGTAATACTAAAAGTAGTAGTAAAAGTAGTAGTAGTAGTAGTAGTAGTAGTAGTACTACTACTACTACTACTACTACTACTACTACTACTACTACTACTACTACTACTACTACTACTACTACTACTACTAGTACCACTAGTACTACTACTACTACTACTACTACTACTACCACTACTACTACTACTACTACTACTACTACTACTACTACTTCTACTACTACTACTAGTCGTAGTGGCAATATTAATATTATGATTAGCATTGGCATCCTGATTATGATTCGTATGCTTATTACGAACATTTATGACATGGATACTTTTATGAGCATAATGATTATCCTCCTTCTTCGAAGTGGAACCCCCCGAGGTCCCCAGCGGCCACAAAGGTGCGGGTCCTCCTACCGACAGGCAGCGCTCAAGAATGGCATCCGCCCCAGCGACGGCGCGGCGAGAGAGAGGCTGGCGGCACGGACCCCGCGCGGTGCCAGCGAGGTCCAGCGCCAGGTTGTGGTCGTCCTGGCGGCGGCGGGCAGACAACTTTGTCCAAGTCTCTCCGCCCCCCACATGAGCCTTCTGGATCCTCATCCTCTTCCCCTCTTCCTCCTCCTCCTCCTCCTCCTCCATCCCTCTTCCCCACGTAGTGTTTGTACTTCGTCTCACTTCGCTTCTAAGGTAACTCAGCTCAGGTGCCGGTCTGGACGGCTCGGTGCCGCCCGTCGCCGCCCGTCGCCGCTGGGCCCCGGTGCCAGTCTGGCTGGCTCGTTGCCGCCCGTCGCCACCCGTCGTCGCCATCGCCGCTGGGCATCGCTTTGAATAGGTCTGCATCGCATTACATTGCTGTGCATTGCTGTGGATTGTTTTGCGGTGAGTTGCATTGCTTTGCATTGCCTTGCATTGCATTGCAGCTCTGCATTGCTCTGCATTGCTCTGCATTGCTCTGCATTGCTCTGCATTGCTCTGCATTGCTCTGCATTGCTCTGCATTGCTCTGCATTGCTCTGCATTGCTCTGCATTGCTCTGCGATGCTCTGCGTCGCTTTGCATTGCTCTGAGTTGCTTTGCGTCGCTTTGCATTGCTGAGCATTGCTGAGCATTGCTGCACACCACATATTGCACCAGTGGCTGCACCACCCAGATTGCACCACAGTGGCTACAACACCTAGATTGCCCCCCATGCATTGCGAGAAATCACTGTTTGGAGCCCACGCTGGCTAACATTCCTTATCCGCCGCGGTGCCTGGTGCCCACCGGCAAGTCAGCGCGAGCTAGAATGCTAGGTATTGTCTGGTAGGGTTTCTGTAAATTTCTAAGGGCCACCCCCCTCCCGTTCGCGCACGGTATGCACCCCCCGCCCCTTCCCGAGGCCACGATCCCTTGCAACATTCGAGCCAGGTTCCAGCCCTGGGGGCCCAGACGCCTCCAAGACGGCCCGATATCGCTCCAAGACGGGCCATTTTGGTTTCAAGACGGCCCAAGATGGCGTCAAAATGGCCCACGAGGCCGTCGAGGCGTCCTAAGAGAGCCCCACGAGCCGCCGCCAGAGGGCCTCGAGAGGCAAAAATCACTGATTTGCCAAGGCTTTTTCAATGTTTCTCGGGTTCGAGCTTCCGACGTCCCAAGACGACCCAAGAGGCCAAGAGGCCACCAAGACTGCCCAAAGACGATCCAGGAGGCCCCCAAAGGGCCCCAAGACGGCCCACGTGGGCTCCAAGACGGCCCAAGAGGCGCCCTAGAATGCCCAAGAGGGCCCCAAGACGGCCCCAAGAAGGGCCACAGAAGGTGAACACGAACCGACAATTCGAGCCTTCCGCCCCAAGAGGGCCCTGGAGGCCCCAAGAAGGCCAAACGAGGCCCCCAAGAAGGCCCCGAGAGGCAAACAACATTGATTTGCCTGAGCGTTTTCAATGTTTCTTGAAGTATCGCCTTTTCGAGCTTCTGGCGCTACAAGGCAGCGCAAGAGCCCCCAAGACTCCCCCGGGACGGCTCAAGAAGGTCCCTAGAAAGCTCCAAGACGGCCCAGGAGAGCTCCAAGACGGCCCAACAGGCGCCCACAGCCACCCAAGACGGCCCCAAGAAGTGCCCCAGAGTGGGAACACCAACCAAGAATTCGAGCCTTCTGCCCAAAAAGGCTCTCAGCAGGCCCCCTTGCCCCCTCCAACAATCGCCACCGAGCATGCTGGACTGGCACGGTGGCAGGACTTACCGCTGGCAGCCCAGTCGCACCCCCAGACCTGTCGATAGGGCGGGCCAGGCGTTACGCCGCAGACTTCCTCACCATTCATGATCCTGAAGTTTGACATTTGCAATAGCTTGACGGATGGAAGGTGGGCCTTTTTCACAATGTGGTTCTCGCCTGAGCGCCTCGCACATTCGTCTTCTAAATGCGCCACAAGTTGGCGGATGGCGGGCGGGCCGTTTTTCAACATGTGGCTCTCGCATTAGCGCCACGCACATTCGTCTTGGAAAGTTTCCACCAATTTAACTTGTGGAGGGCGGTCCCTTTTTAAACTGTGGCTCTCGTCTCAGCGCCGCGCACGTTCGTCTTAACTCGTTTGCAGCAACCTCAATGGTTCGTAGGGTTGAAGTCGAAGGAATGGTGTTCTGGCACGAGTAAAGATTGTCAGGACTCAACCGACACGTTGATTAACGGCGTTGAAGTCCTAGGAATGGTTTCTGGCACGATTTAGGATTCTCAGAACGCAGCAGTCACGTTGATTTGCGGCGCTGGAGTCTCGGGAATTGTGTTTGGGCATGATTATCCCGGCAAAGCAACCTAACAGCGATGTGTAGAAGCATATCTGAAAGCATTCCCCTTAAGATTCAGATGAAAATCCAGTTGTAGAATTCTGCTGTTCTCGCAGTCGTAGTCGCATTCGCGATGACAGTCGCAGCGGCAACGGCAGTCGCAGTCACAGCCTCAGCCTCAGCCTGCCTCAGCCTCAGCCTCAGCCTGCCTCAGCCTCAGCCTGCCTCAGCCTCAGCCTCAGCCTGCTTCAGCCTCAGCCTCAGTCTGCCTTCAGCCTCGGCCTCAGCCTCAGCCTGCCTCAGCCTCAGCCTGCTCAGCCTCAGCCTCAGCCTCAGCCTCAGCCTCAGCCTGCCTCAGCATCAGCCTGCTCAGCCTCAGCCTCAGCCTGCCTCAGCCTCAGCCTCAGTCTGCTTCAGCCTCAGCCTCAGCCTTCAGCCTGCCTCAGCCTCAGCCTGCCTCAGCCTCAGCCTGCCTCAGCTCAGCCTGCAGCATTCAAAATGTGGCCCAGGAATGGAGTTCTGGGAACTAGAAGAACACGAAGTGGCCTACAGTTGGCTCCGGGCATTCAAAATCATGCCCAGGAATGGAGTTCTGGGAACTCGAAGAGCACGAAGTGGCCTACAGTTGGCTCCGGGCATTCAAAATGTGGCCCGGGAATGGAGTTCTGGGAACTCGAAGAGCACGAAGTGGCCTACAGTTGGCTCCGGGCATTCAAAATGTGGCCCGGGAATGGAGTTCTGGGAACTCGAAGAGCACGAAGTGGCCTACAGTTGGCTCCGGGCATTCAAAATGTGGCCCGGGAATGGAGTTCTGGGAAGTCGAAGAGCACGAAGTGGCCTACAGTTGGCTCCGGGCATTCAGAATGTGGCCCGGGAATGGAGTTCTGGGAGGTCGAAGAGCAGTGTGTGACTGTTGGCTTAAAACGACTTCTGCGGCACCCTGTCCGGCACCCGCCCAGACCCCCCTGTGGAGTCATCTGCTGCTCTCTTTTGACCCTACTAGAAACCTATCAGAACAAGCTGTTAGGTAATCAAAGATTGTCAGAAGGTTGTCTTCCAACGGGGCCCTTCCCGCAATCAAAGTAAAGTATTGTTGTAGGGCCTAGGGAGAGAGAACCTGGAGGGAGGGTTTATTGGAACATCGTCAATGCGTTTTGGGCTTGCACTGGTCCTCCTCCTCCGCCTCTTCCTCCTCATCCTCATCCTCCCACCTCCAGCTACGTCCTGCTCCTGCTCCTCCTTCCTCATCCTCATCCTCATCCTCATCCTCTTCCTGATCATCATCCTCATCATCATCAGTACCATCACCGTCATCACCAGCAATCATGCCCTCCTCATCCTCATCCTCCTCCTCCTCCTCCTCCTCCTCCACCCTCCATGCCCGCCCTCCAGATCCCCGCTTGAAGGGAGGACGACGGTGGCGACGAAGCCTCGCATCAGAATTGCGTGTCCGATCTACAGGAGCCTCTGGGAAGCGACTAGGAAACCTGCACCGCGCAACACCGCTCCACGCCGCTCAGTGGAGGGCGCAGTGTTGCGCGGCTGTACGTGGTGCTGCGCGGCTGTGTTGCTCTGGCGAGCTGCGAATTACGATTTCCAAAGATTATACGCAACGACAGGGGCGAATTGCTCAGGGGGGAACATCGACCTGGAATCAGCGATAAATACATATATATATATACATAGATATGTACATATACACACATATATATATATGCATATATGCATATTAGAACCACGCGCGCGCTTCGCGCGCGCTTAGGTTCTAGCTAGGAGGCGAGCTTGAGTCAACGAAAGTCGCAGGGAAGGGGGCAGGGGGAAGAAGGCCAGAGAGCGCTAAAGGATACAAATACTGGAACCCTCTTGTGATTTTGTGGGGGGCCTCGTCCGGCCGCTCGCTGGGAGTTTGACGTAGCTTCTCGGGAGCCTCTGAACCTGTCGGGGGCTTCCTGGAAGCAGGTTCGAAGGATTTTGGGGGCCGATTTGGGGCTTCTCGGGGCCTCCTTTGGGCCTCTTGGGGGTCTCCTGGGGCCTCTTGAGGGGCCTCCTGAGGGCCTCCTGGCGGCCTCTTGGGGCGGAAGGCTCGAGCTTGCGGTTCGTGGTCCCCCTCTGGGCCCCCTCTTGGGCCCGTCTTGGGGCCCTCTTGGGCCATCTTGGGCGCCTCTTGGGCCGTCTTGGGGCCCTCTTGGGCTGTCCTGGGGCCCTCTTGGAAGCTTCTTGGGCCGTCTTGGGGCGGTCTTGGGCGCCTCTTGGGCCGTCCTGTAACGTCGGAAAGCCCAAAAGACAACTTTGTTGAAAATGTACGTTTTACGAAGGGAATGGGCCAATTTTTGCGTCTAGGGGCCCTCTTGGGACGCATGTTGGAGGCTTCTTGGGGCCTCTTGGGGGCGTCCTTGGACGTCTGGGGTCTCCTGGGGCCTCTTGAGGGGCCTCCTGGGGGCCTCCTGGCGGCCTCTTGGGGCGGAAGGCTCGAGCTTGCGGTTCGTGGTCCCCCTCTGGGCCCCCTCTTGGGCCCGTCTTGGGGCCCTCTTGGGCCATCTTGGGCGCCTCTTGGGCCGTCTTGGGGCCCTCTTGGGCTGTCCTGGGGCCCTCTGGGAACTTCTTGGGCCGTCTTGGGGCGGTCTTGGGCGCCTCTTGGGCCGTCCTGTAACGTCGGAAAGCCCAAAAGGCGACTTTGTTAAAAATGTACGTTTTACGAAGGGAATGGGCCAATTCTTGCGTCTAGGGGCCCTCTTGGGACGCATGTTGGAGGCTTCTTGGGGCCTCTTGGGGGCGTCCTTGGACGTCTGGGGTCTCCTGGGGCCTCTTGAGGGGCCTCCTGGGGGCCTCCTGGCGGCCTCTTGGGGCGGAAGGCTCGAGCTTGCGGTTCGTGGTCCCCCTCTGGGCCCCCTCTTGGGCCCGTCTTGGGGCCCTCTTGGGCCATCTTGGGCGCCTCTTGGGCCGTCTTGGGGCCCTCTTGGGCTGTCCTGGGGCCCTCTGGGAAGCTTCTTGGGCCGTCTTGGGGCGGTCTTGGGCGCCTCTTGGGCCGTCCTGTAACGTCGGAAAGCCCAAAAGACAACTTTGTTGAAAATGTACGTTTTACGAAGGGAATGGGCCAATTTTTGCGTCTAGGGGCCCTCTTGGGACGCATGTTGGAGGCTTCTTGGGGCCTCTTGGGGGCGTCCTTGGACGTCTGGAGGCCATCTTCAGCATCTCGGAGCCCTCTTGGAGGCCTCTTGGAAGTTTCTTGGGCCGTCTTGGGCGCTTCTTGGGCCGTCTTGTCTGACTGGGGAGGCCTCCGGCAAGCCCCGACGAGCCTCCGGGCCCCCCGGGGTGCACATTTGTGGTCGAGGTCCCGGCCCCGGGCCCCCGGACCCGGTGCGCCGTTATATGTATATATAGATATATACATACATATCTATATATATATATATATATATATATATGTATCGCCGATTGGTCGGCGACAGGCTCTCGAAGGCGAATCCGAACGTTCATGGGCGGGGTGGGCCGGCAGGCCCTCATCGGCGACGAATGGGCGCTGGGGGGTCGGTGCATCCCCCCCCCGCGGAGCCTGTCCCCAGCAGGTGTTGCTCGTCGTCTGGCTTGCAGGTCATAGCTCGGGCCTCCAGCGACCGCTCGGGACGCTCTGGGCACCCCCCGAACGCTCCCGGCGAGGCGCAGCTGATGGAAACTGCCGCAGGTCTCGAAAACGCTCGACCACTCGCAAAACCGTCCCAAAAAACGTTGACCCTGAACCTCCCGACCTGGCTTCGGGTCACAACGCTGCTCTCTGGCGGCCGCCCGGCGGCTCCTGGAGGTCGTCCGCCGAGCCCGCGGCCTGGGGGGGAGGGCCGGCGACGGCTGCGCGGCCGCCCGGTCGCAGGGGTCTCGGGGACGGATGGGGGGGGGGGGGCGGCGTGGGTGGGCGAGGCTGAGGCTGAGGGGGAGGAGTCGGAGGCAGGGGAGGGCGAGGTTGAGGGTGAGGGGGGAGGGGGAGAGCGAGAGGCAGGAGGGGTGGAGAGGGGGGAGCGGGAGCGAGGCGGGGAGGGAGCGCGGAGGAGAGGGAGAGGGGGGGGCACAGGGAACGTAAGAGACGGAAAGAAAGATAGGGAGAGGGAGGACGGAAGCGAGAGATCCTTTTCGTCCATCCTTCATCCCTCCTCCATCCCTTCCTCCACCCTCCTCCCTCATTTCCCCTCCTCCTCCCCACGCTCTCGTGCGCGCAGGCAGGCGGGCCACTCGGAGCAGATGGACTCAGAGGATCGCGCAGCATGCGCGATGCATCGACAATACATCGGCGATGCATCGTCGACGGCAGAATGGAGACAACGGGCTCCAGATCGCGCCGCATCGCCGATGCATCGGCAGGGCAACGCGATCCTCCGACTGCATCTACTCTGGCCCCCGTCTGGGGGGGGGAGGAGGAGGAGGAGGAGGAGGAGGAGGAGGAGGAGGAGAAGGAGGAGGAGGAGGGGGAGGAGGAGGAGGAGGAGGAGGAGGAGGAGGAGGAGGAGGAGGACGAGGAGGAGGAAGAGGAAGGAGGAGGAGGAGGAGGGGGAGGAGGAGGAGGAGGAGGAGGAGGTGCCGCTGCGCCGCTGATCTGCGACCGGTTCGTGTCGTGACGGTGTCGGCATGGCTGTCCAACACCGCGTGCAGCGTTCAGCCTTTGGCATTCGCGGCTTTCCGATAGCGCAGACCTTCCGATACTGGCAACTTTTGTGCCACTGGCGGCGTTCGGCATTGAACGCACGCCCGCGCTGGGATCGACGCCGCGCCGACGTGACACGAAACTGCTGTAGCCTCTTGACCTTGAACATCTTGCGGAGGTGTTAGACCAGCGGTCTGGGTGCCACGCACTGGGAAAAGACACGAACTCAAAAGCCTGGGCAAGCCGATGGACAACTTGACTTTCCCAATCCGCGTCCCACCCTAACGGCTCCCACAACAGACGTCCAACTAATTTCACGCCCAAAATGCCCGAGGGTTGGGACAAGGAAAGCATCCGCCACCACACGTGCACCACAGACGAATCCTGGGCCGAGATACACGCGGATGGTGGACGCAGCCTCCCGGCCAGGAGGACACATGATCGGAGCCAAAAAGTCACCCAAGAGGACGCAGTGGTGGCGCAGACACTCCTTATTCTCAAGGAAGGGTTAGGAAGCGAGGGGGGGCCCTCCCCTCTCCCTCCCCTCACAACGCGGGGAGGCAGGGGGACGGGAGAAGGAGGGAGAGAGGGGGTGAGATAGGCGGGGGGGAGGGGGGTCGAAGCACACTCGCGTATTCGACGTGATCTGTGGAATCTCCTGAAGTGGCCGCATCTTGTCTATATGAAGGCTATGGGTGAAACACAATCCCATGAATAGAAAGAGAGGAGGAGAGAGGAGAGAGCGCGATATATTACAATTCGCTGGCCCAACGGGCCTGAGGCGTGCTAAGATCTCCAGTAACTGGTTCACAAAATACATGTATATTCTAGCTCGCGCGCGCGGGGCGGCCTCTGGGGGTCCCCCGACGAAAAATACCCCGGCCGACTCCCGACAAGGTCCAGGCAAGGTCCCGGCAAGGTCCCGAAGGGCCGGGCAAGGTCCCGGCAAGGTCGCGGCAAGGTCCCGGCAAGGTCCGCTCAAGGATACCAGAACTCCTAGGAGCGGTCTTCGGGGCCCTCCAGATCGCCCCAGAAGCGGCCTTGGAACCTCAAGGCAACTCCACAAGGGCCCACGAATCGGAATCACGGCCCAAGATCGCTCCCAGACGCCCAAGATAGCCCCAAGACGGCCCAAGAGGCTTCAACGAAGCCCCAAGAGAGAGGAGACCAAAGAAGGCCAAAAGAAGCAAAATCATGAATGCCCCTGTTGTTGTTCGATGTTTTTCGCGTTCTCGCGTTTGCGGACTTCCGCCGGTTCAAGATGGCCCCAGCGGCCCCAACATCCTGTAGGATCATCATGCAAAATGGCTACGGAGAGCTTCTGGAACATCCTGGGAACGCTTTGGAGCCTTTCGGGACCTCCTGGGGCCGTCATGGGACATGAGAGGAGCCCAGGACGCTTGACACGGTTGACATGTGCAGGATGTGGACTGTCTTGGAAACATACTGGGGCCCTCTTGGTGCCCTTGGGGTCATCTTGGGAGCCACTGGGGCCGTGTTGGGACTCTCCTGGGGCCATCATGAAGCCTCAAGGGCACAAGAACATCTTGG